AAGATATAGCTAACACTGGATAATAGATAGAATCAGGATCTCAAAATAGCCAAGGAAGCCAGAACAATGCATCAGATTTAAGGAGACTGTTCTATGTAAGTGAAATTAGACTGACTTCCCTTGGTCCCAGATCCTTTGAGCACTGGGTGAAAGCTGAAGATACAGATTTCTGCTGGGTAGCACTTAGTCACTGGAGCCATCCAAGAGTGGAAATGGGCGGCCTCAATAAATGAGTTCTGGGTCACTCTTGGAGCTCTTGGAGCTCTCCAAGTAGAATCTCGATGTCAGGGAGGTTGTTGTGGGCATTTCTGCTCAGGCAAAGGTAAGCTCCTGGATGGTAGGGACTATGTTGGTTTGGGTTTTGTTTGTTTGTTTTTTTAGTCATTGTATCCATTTGGTATAATGGTTTTCATACAAAAGGTGCAGAATAAATGATTTCTCGATTGAACTGAAGGAGTTATAAGGACGTTTCCAACCCTGTGATCACGCTTATTTAAGATGCTAGCCATTTCACCTCTCTGAACCTCAGTTTCTTCATCTGTAAAATGGAGATAAAATACCCGTAGAATCTACCATACAAGGTGATTGTGAAGATCAAACAAGATAATGTCTATAAAGCACTTTAAAAGTGTAAAAACTATGATAGAAATGACAGTCAAGTCAACAAGTATTAAGAACCTACTATGTGCCACTCACTGTGCTAAGCACTGGGGATACAAAGAAAAAACACAGTCTCTGCCCCCTCCCCGGAAGCTCACAGTCTAAAGGAGGAGAAAACATGCCAACAAGTATAGACAAACAAGATATATGCAGGATAAACTGAAGATAATGTCAGAGGAAAGGCACAAGCATTTAAGGGGTGGTGGGGAGCCTGGAAGGGAGAGTTTTAGTTGGGACTTGAAGGAAGCCAAGAGGTAGAGCATTACAGGCATGAGAGACAGCCAGGGAAAGTCATGGAGTGGGCTATGTGGAGTACAGCCAAGAGGCCAGTGTCACATAGAGGGGAGTATGTCATAAAGAGAGTGGAAAGGCAATTAGGGCCAGGTTCCAAAGGGCTTTGTACAGCAGAAAGAGGATTTTATATTTGATCCTGGAGATGATAGGGAGCCATTGGAATTGACTGAATCGAGGTGGGGAAGAAGATGGTCAGACTTGCACTTTAGCAAGTTCACTTGGGCATATTGGCTTATCACCACCACCACCACCATCACCACTATCACCACCTCTACCACCACCACCATCACCTCCATCACCATCTCTACCACCACCACCATCATCATCACCATCACCTCCACCACCACCACCATCATCACTAGTGAGCTCCTCAAGTTGTCCATCCTAAGGTAAAAGAACCACTTGGAGACAGCATAGACAAGAATCCTGTACTGGGCAGGGGTTTGGACTAGATGGCCTCTTAGGTACTTTCCAACTTTGAGATTCTATGACTACTTGTTGCCCATACCTCTCTTTAGGTTAACAATGACTCTTTCAATTCAAGCTTATGCCCATTGCCTGTTCCCTGTCTCTTTTCCTAACATAACCTGCATCTCACAGATTTTCCAGAGCAAGGTGCCACACAGAGTTGATGAGAGGTTCCCAATTCTAAGAGTCAAGTAAGAAGTCTAGAGGACCTGTAAGAATAAAGGGGCATGTAGAGAAAAGTTCAAGGTCATAGATATTGGGGGTGATGCAGCAGAAAAAGCACTGGGTTTGGGGTACCAGGACCTGGGTTCAAATTCTGCCTCTGTTGCTTATGACCTGGGTGATTTGGGGCAAGGGTACTTTCTTTCCCTCCTGGGGCTTCAGTGTTTTCATCTGTAAAATGGAGGAGTTGGCCTAGATTCTCGGGTCCCATGCAGTTTTAAGTCTCTGACCTGTGCTCTACAAAGGCTTCCCATTTCCTATGGGCTCCATCAGAGGTCAGAGCAGCCTTCTTAGAAAAAGCCTAGGGACCCTTCTCAGAATCATACTCTTAAACTATTGAAGGAAATGCTAAATTTCAGTTAAAGGTTTGTGAAAATTAAGCTATCACTTTTCCCCACCCATATTCAGAAACCCTCTGAAATGTATCCACAGATAAAGTCCACGGACACCAGGTTAAGATCTGTGTTAGAATGACCCTGTTTTTTAGAGCAGTCCATAGAAAATCAGTAAACGTTTACTAAGCGCCTATTTCATGTGCCGAAAAGGGAAGCCTTCTCACTGAAAGGAAGCCCACTCACGAATCCGTCCTCTAGATCCGTAAGCCTACTTCCTGTCTCAGCTCAATCAGGACCACAGGCCTCTTTAATCCCTGTCCTTGAGGCCATTCACCAGGAGCTCCAGCTCCTCCTCTCTTGCCCATCTCACATCACTCTGATGCCTCCTGCAGCCATCTCCTCCTTCACCCCGCCTCCTAGGGAGCCGGGCCCTTCTCCTCGCTAAGGCAAATCCCTCTCCAGGCACGAGTGATCCATCCCATTCCATCTCCTCCAGCAGATCACCCCTCCTATCATCCTGACACTCCCACCCATCTTCAGTCCCTCCCTACCAGCTACATTCCTGCTGCTGCAAATATGTCCCCATCTCCTCCATCCTCAAAAAGCCCTCACGTGATCCAATCATCCCTTCTCAGGGTAGCCCGAAAGGTGTTCTTCCTTTTGTGGCTGAATTCCCTGAGAAGGCCATCTACAGTAGATGCCTCCACTTTCCTCCCATGCCTACCTTTTTGCAGACTGCCTTCCAAACACATCATTTGGCTGAAAATATTCCTCCAAAGGTCCTAATGCACTCTTGCTTGCTTAAATCCAATGACCTTTTCTCAATCCTCCTTCTCTTTGACGTCTCTGCAACCACCCTCTTCTTCATACTCTCTTGGACTTAGATTTTCAAGACACTAATCTCTGCTGGTTCTCTGACCTGTCTAACTGCTCCTTCTCTGTCCTTTGCTGGATTCTCATTCAGGTCTGGCTCGTAATGATGGGTGTCCCCAAGCTCTGTCACGGGACCTCTTATCTTCTCTCTCTAGAGCAGTGGGGAGGAACCTGTGGCCTTAAGGCCACATGTGGCCTGCTGGAGACTATTTCACTTGGTGATGCCCTCCACTCCTCCAGTTACAATTACCATGTCCTAGCAGATGGATTCTCAGTTTTATGTGTCCAGCACTAAGCTCTCTCCTGACATTTCTTCATCTCCAGCTGCCAACTGGACATCCCATAGGCAGCTTCGGCTCAGCATGTCCTAAATGGAACTCACTCTCTGTCCCCCTCCAGCTCTCCTTTCCTCCCAACTCCCCTCTGACAGGGAGGATGGCATTACCATGCTCCCACTCATGAAGGCCCCCAATCTAGGTATCATCCTGGACTCCTCACTCTTTCCAACCCCTTACACTTAATGAGTTGCTGAATCCTGTCATTTCTAACTGTTTTGGTCACATCTCTCTCATATGCCTCCTTCTTTCCTCTGATACTGAAAACACTTTGATGCAGACCCTCACCCACCCATGCCTAGGCTATTGCAATGGGTTGCTGATTGGCGTCACTGCCTCAAGTCTCTCCCTACTTCAGGCCACTCTCCACTCAAATTTATCTTTCTACAATGCAGTTCAATGATTGGTTCTGAAAGCCCTAGGCATCTTACACCTCACCCCCCTTCATTTATCGTGATCCAGTGACACTGGCCTCCCACCAGTCCCTTGCACAGGACACTCTGTCTCTGGTTGTCACTGGGTGTCCCCCATCCATGCTTGGTCTCTCCTTCCACATCTCTGCCTCCTACCTTCCTTCTTCCTTCAGGTCTCAGCTAAAGCCCTACCTTCTGCACGAAGCCTTTCCCAGGCCTTCCTAATCTTCAGGCCTTCCCTCTGGGAATGCCCCCAGTTTATCCTGAATGTAGCCTGTTTGTTTAGAGTTGTTTGCCTGTCCTCTCCCTCATTAGACTGTGAGCTCCTTAAAAGCAGGGACTTTTTGCCTTTCTTTGTATCCTAAGTGCTTAGCATGATGCCTGGCACATAGTAAGAGTTCAATTAATGCTAATTGACTGACTTATACCTTAGGTATCCAGAGGCCAAAAAACCACAATCTTGGAACCCCCGCAAGCCTCCTCAGTGTTTTTCCTTTGAATCTGGGTGTGGGGAAGCATGTTGGAGTGTCAGCTCTCCAGAAGGGAGAAGGTTACCCAGACCTGTGGCAGGTGAAGAGGGGGGGGCAAGGAGGGGCAGTGCCTAAGAAGCATTCAGATGGGCAGTGAAAGGAGTGGGGAGGGTCGGTGTAGGGGCACACAGGAAGGGAGTAAGGAAGGAAAATCAGCAAGACCTGGAAGTAACCTGAGGGGCGGTCATCCAGTGTTATGTTTGAGGAAACTGAGGTCAAAGAGGGAAATAACTTGCCCATTATCTGCATATTAGTGGCCTGGCTTGGACCAAAAACTATGTCTTCTGATGCTCAAAGTTGTTGTCTTTTTACTACAACGTGAGATGGGACAGGAAGTGATGGAGAGGGGATGGTAGGGAGCAGGGAAGGGTTAGGGAACAAGAGGACAGGAGCAAAGGGAAAGACTGAACCAGGGAGGCACAGCAGAGAGGCAGGGGCAGTGGGACAGGGAGGACAGAGAAGGGCAGGGGGCAGGGAGACAGTGGGACAGGGGGGAGCAGAGAAGGGCAGGGGGCAGGGAG